CGTCGCTGCGCTGCGCCGCGGGCCGGAGCCCGTGTGAAAACCCCCTCGGAAACGGTCTCCCGCAGTGAGCGCGTCGCTTTCTGAGGGCGTTTGCGCCTCGTCTGCGCTTTCTCTGGGACGTCTCGGTGTAGCAATCGCTGTGTTCAGCGTACCTGCTACTTCTGCCCTCGGAGCTAGTTTTAAGCGGTTTTACAACTTCAGTTTTCGTGCTGAAGCGACTCTTCTCTTTCTGACCGGAGAGATAACGTCCATGTTTATCTGAACGTAACTATCCTTTGCCCCTGGAACTCCTGAAGTGCTTATCTGACTCCTTTGTAGTCATTTGTAATTGCTGACTTTTTTCCTCCTGTGGCAAAGTAAAGAAAAATGACTTAAATGATGTTTTATTAAGTTTGACTGTTAAGCAATTGCCAGTAGTAGTCCTTATTTCTCATTAACAGCTATGGAGTTTGTTTGCTTGAGTTCTGTTGTCTATGCATATATATGCCTGTATAATATGTGGTTTAAAAAAAAAACAACCCAAGCAGTGAAGTAAAACTCTAAAAGCACAGTTTACGTGACTGTCAAAATAACTATTTTTCTCCTTTTATACAAGAAAGGATACTGCTGCCTTTTTACTGCTTCCTATTTTAAACAGGGAAAATCTATTGTAAAATTTCTTTTGTAGGCAGAAGAGTTGTGAGCATAAGTTGCTAATAAGAGTTTTATTTATTCATAGAGGAGGGGGTGGAGCAATTAATCTATACCTTTTTTAAAAAAGGTGATGTTAGTAGGGGCTGAAACAGGCATTGACATTTGATAACCTTTTGGTACGTTATCAAACAATATGTGTAAGACTCAACACTAAAACTTTTGGGAAAGCAAGAGACTCTAAAGTTTCATTTTGTGTCAGGTGCTAGTGTTAAGAATAGAACAGAGGCCGTTTGCTGAGGTTGTGCTGTTCTTGTGATTGCAAGTGAAAGTGGATTAAAAAACCTTTTTTTTAAGACTCGTATTTGCTTTGTGAGAACTTGAAGCAAATGTTTTAAATGAAGTTTTGTAGACCTTTTACTTATAACATCAGCCATCTGCTTCCTCTAGTATCTAAACAGACAGCCCTCAAAACAGGGAAGACTGTAGTGAAAGCCAAATTACGTGGCAAACTTCTTGCCATCGTTTATCTCTCAGAACTATTTTGCTTGTTAATTTGCACACATACTGAATAATACACTTTGATTATGCTTGAGTGGGCAATTTTTTTCCTAAACCACAGGGTGTGCTATTTTTTTCAAAGAATAAAATATGGCAGGCATCACTCCAAAACAGCTAGGTTGAATACTACCAGTCACATCTTCACCATTGACGTTTTAGATTACGTGTGGCATATCTCGTCTAAATCACGCTTCCTTCATCTCCTCCTGAAAATAAATTTGTTAGCGCCTAAATTTGTAAACACTTTCACAATGTTGTCTTGCCTCTATTTTTAATGTCGGCTGTATATTTATGAAACTAACTTTATATTTTAGATAATTATTTCAAGCTCGTTTTGAGACTTAGAAATGCATCTTGTGGCTAATGATACTAAGAACCTGTCTGTTTAACATTAGCTAGAGGTATATTGGTCAAGTAAGCAAGCTGCTCTTGGCCCCAACTATCTTGTCAGTGTGCACAGCTCTTTAGAAATTAAAATACATTTTTCATTAAAATGAAATATTAGAGATTTTTGATTCATTCTGTAATGTGTGCCTGATTTTCAAAGTGTGGTTTTGAGACTACAGAAAGACTTACTGTTGTTTATGTTAATAACATCAGTTGCTCATTGGTCTCGAAAGTCTCTGAACAAAAAAACTTGAGAAACAATGCACTTTCAGCTTTTAATAGGTCATGTGTACACTCTTAAACCAGTTATTGGTCAGATTCCTATCCAGTAATGGTATGCTATTACATTGTTTCTCATGTTATTGTGACCAAGTCTTATTAGGATCAGGTGTCTATCAGAACAGCTCTTCAGAAAGCTGAAATGTTCTTTATGGTCTTTAATGTGGCCATAATGCGCAGTCAACAAGCTCATGCCTAGGTTGCTGTGTCAGCTGGTCCTTAAATTGCTCAGAGGTCTAACTGCCACAGAATGTCCCAGTGTGCCCATACACCACAGTGTTTCTTGGAGCAATATCCTGGCGTTAATATGATTGAGATTAGAAACTGAGAATTTCTGATTAAAGAGTGATTGTGGAAAGAAGACTTTATGAAAACCTCTAGAATGATGGTTTGCTTTAAAACAAACTGTGATCGTGATCCCTTGTATTTGGGACTTCTTGTAGCAGCACTTGGACCAAAGGCTCAGGTATATTTCCGTGTCAGACTGTACGCTCCATGACCACAGACGCATGCTGCTCTAATGATAATCATCAGCAGTGGCTCTTTTGCTCAAAGGAGGGTTACCTGTCTTAATTCTGTTTGCATTTGGCAAAACTCCCTGTTTCAGTTGTTGTTTCTGCCTGATAGCTAAGGCGCAGAGTACCAACAGCTGCGTTTCTTGTAAAGTTGTGGTGATGATGGTTGTGCTCAAGTGAAGCAGGGGGAAAAGAGGATTGAACCTAATGTCTGTTTTTGATTACATTAACAAATCTGGCATGTCAAAAACTTTAAATGATAAACACCCATCGTTAATTCTCCAATTGTATCAACGGGTTATGAATATATAATTTTTTTTAATTTTTAAAACAGCATGGAGAAAAGGGTTAGGAATGTTATGCCTTGTTTTCCTCATGTGATACGAGTTTGGTTTTTGGTTGGTCTGTTTCTGTTTGGAAGCCCCAGCCGGAGTATAATGTACTATATATGTAGCTGTTGAACAAGAGTGAAATACATAGATTACATAATAATCTCCAGTTGTATGTATTTTTTTTGTACTCAAAAGT